TGTCTAATGTTTGGGGTTTTAAGCGGTTTTACCGGTCTTTATCGTTGCACGAGATTTTCGTCGAAGTGTTCTGTCGTCAAGTAGTTTTTAACTCACATTTGGAGCGCACTGGAACGATTGTCGGCCGTGGAACACGTCCGAAAACGGTCCCAACGCGTATGAAAAGCATCGGCAGTCAGGCGTCAAAGACGTGCATGTTTAGAACGGTACACTGTACAGTTGGTATCACTCTTGCTTGTAATTATACTCGATATCGCTCCCAATTTGTTCTTGAATAACACACCCTAATATAACGTGGCAGATTGCCCTACAGCGTCTTGTCCTACGGTAGGGCGTAACTATGTGGGAAAATTGACAACTCACAACAAATCCGATTTCAACGTTGTTTCGCATGATCAGGTGTTTTGGAGAGTGCATCTAGATGTTTATAATGGTGGTTATATAAAGTTATCGCCAGCATTATCTATGGTATGGCTGATGGCTGGTTGGCTATCGTGCTATCATGCATACTTGAATTAATATACAAAGTAAGAATGCATTTAAAATTTATATAATTTCACTTAACCCTTGACAAGGCTTCATTCGGACGCCTCCCGAGGGTCCCACGGGTGACGTGTTGGGCCCAGATTGAGTATGGGCATGTTTTGAAGTATGCTGAACACGATGGAAGTTGTCCCGACGACGTGCGACTTTTTGTTCTGGACTTACAGGCCGATTTAAGTGGTACTGTAGTTTTTGCCCCTGGGAAGAAGGCAAACGCCTCTGCAGGCCATATGACGCGGGTCTCATCTTGGCAACATTGCTTAAAAGTTACCTTAGGTCCTGTAGAGCTTATTTCCAAATGGTCCACCTAGTAGAATGAAAAAGGCCGAAGTAACACTGCTACGTTCCAAACCCACACGTTTAATGGCGATTTTGTTTACACGCTTACACTGTAAACGTAGTGGCTACTTAATTTTTGGCCTTCTCTGAGCAATGCCAATTTTCGGCCACTCTTAATGACAAAATTTGGGCATCTCTTGGAACAATGCCAATTTTGGGTATTATGAAGAGGCCGAAAACTGGCATTCCACAGAGTAGGCCACTGGTTTAACAGTGTTACGGGCCGTTTCCGGACGTGTCCCACGTTCGAATGTCGGTCCTGTGCGCTCTAAATGTCGGTTACACACTACAATACGACTTAACACTTCGACGAGTATCTCGTGGAACGGTAAAGACCAAAAAACCCGCTTAAAACCCCAAAAATTACACATAAAATTTATGAACTCTTTATTCGGATGCGTCCTGAGGGTCCCACGGGTGACGTGTTGGGCCCGGATGGGAGGTGGGCATGTTTTGAAGTATGCTGAACACGATGGAAGTGGTCCCAACGACGTGTGACTTTTTGCTCTGGAGTTACAGGCCGATTTAAGTGGTACTGTAGTTTTTGCCCCTGGGAAGTAGGCAAACGCCTCTGCAGGCCATATGACACTAGTTTCATCTTGGCAACATTGCTTAAAAATTACCTTAGGTCCTGTAGAGCTTAATTCCAAATGGTCCACCCAGTCAAATGAAAGAGACCGAAGTACCACTGCTGCGTTCCAAACGCACACTTTTAATGGCGATTTTGTTTACACGATTACGGACCGTTTACGGACGTGTCC